AGCAGGTCCGTCTGTCTGGGGTTGTACTCCAGGCAGGAGACCGCCATGCCCTCTGCGCTGTGCTCAATGGTCGCTGTGGGCCTGAGGGACCCCCGTCCCAGATCAAAGAGCAGCACTGATCCTGCAGGAAATGCAAGTGGAAGAAATGCAATACCTTCCCACAGCCCGTGAGTGAGAAACAGGTTAAATAGGGCAGAGGCTTTGGGACAACGTCACTAGACAAAATGCATCTGGTGGAATTAACTGAACTTTCTGAAATAAAGCATAGTCACAGTTTGTAACTACACAATTATCTTTTTAAGGCAATTATTGTTGCACTAATGAAGTTTCAAAACACATCGACTCTGCCCTGTACGCAGAGGAGGGGCTGTATAACTGGAAACCATTCAGTAACAGACAAGGACCAGCTGGCTCTTTCTTTTGTTCTCGGGCACAATCAAACACAGGAACAGTGGCACAGGTTCCCTCTGAACAAATACAAAATACAACAACTGCAATTACTCTATTTCAAAATATAGCAAGATGCCTTTGGAGGTGGTTTAGCAAGGAGATGGGCTCTCACCTTGTCCTGTAGCAGCGGCGAGGAGCAGGGGGCGAGTAGGAGACCAGCGCACACCGAACACATACGCGTCGCACACGCGCACCGAGAGCACGGGGGACGCCTGAAGCAGGCTGTGAATGTGGGCCAGGCCATCTGTCCCTGCACTCACAAACAGGTTCCTGCAGCAGAAACCACAGGCCTGAGCACACTGAACAGCAGGCACTCGAGCCATCCCATTCCACACACACATTCCTAGGAGACATTACAGGCAGGTGCCGCTCAGGCGAAATTTCCCAAGGAAACGGAAGTTTAAAGTCAAAAGAGAAAAAAAAGCTGCCAGGGTCATTATTTTTCTTAAAAATGCCCCTCGCGCGTTTGCATTTTAACACACTGAGGCCTTTTTGCAGTCAGCGGTAAAGCAAATTGGCTAGCGGTGTGAAACAAAACCCGTCTCGTCTGGTGAACCGAGCGATCGGGGACCTCCCTCCCCGCTGGGGCCCGGCCCGCGGCGCGGCGGCGCTGACCTGTGGAAGGGGGAGCAGTGCAGGGCGTGGACGGGGCCGCAGCGCGGGGCGAAGGAGAACTGGGCCGGGGCCCTCAGCGTCACGCTCTGGCTCTCGCTCCCCGGGGGCCCCGCCGCTGCAGCCTGAGCGGAGAAGGAGCACTTCAGCACCAGGCCGCCCTCCGAGCCCAGCAGGAAAACGTCGGAGTCCCAGGGGCTGAGCGCCAGGGACGTCACCCCCACCGCGCCGCTCCCGCGGGCCTGAGGACACAGCAGGGACACGAGCAGTGTGTGAGGTCCGTGTGTCTGCCCCGTGAATACGCTCACTCCATCTACTCCTGCTGAGCTCGCGGCCCTAACACACTGAGCAGGGTAAGACCAGACCCCCCCTCCACCAGCCACAGGCTCCAGCTCCTCCCGGGCCAGCTGAGAGAGAGACTCCCTCCAGCGGGTCCTGGGCCTGTCCTGGGGGTCTCTTCCCAGCGGGCCATGCCTGGTACACCTCCAGCGGGGGGCATCCCCTCCACATGCCCGAGCCGCCTCCGCTGGCTCAATCCAGAGGAGCAGCGACTCTACTCCAAGGTCCTCCTGGGCTGCCGAGCTCCTCTCCCCGTCACAGAGAGTGAGCCCAGCACGAGCGGAGAAACCTGCAACCCGCAATCCCATTCACGGACTGGGAATCTTAATCCTCAGCTTCCTGAGGACATCTGGTGTCCCAGAGTAGGCCCCCGAACCAGCCGTCTGAGCGCCAAGGAGGAGGGAGATCAGAGAGCTACCCAGGCTCCAGCTCTAACTGTCAGGGCAATGCGGAAGGGCCCGTGTACGGGGGTCCCGGGGCGCTCGGGGGCTCACCTTGCTCAGCGCGCCGCTGCGGGGGATCTGTTGCGCGGCCAGAGCGTACCCCGCGCTCAGCGCCAGCCGCCCCTCTCCATCCACCCGCCACCGCAGGGCCCGTCCCCCACTGCCCGCGCTCAGCACAGCCTGTTCGCCTCTGCGCGGCCCTGGCACCCAGCACACCTGCACACAGACACACAGGCTCATCTCTAGTCAATCAACTTAAAACATCTCGTTCATTTCTGGTTATTCAGTCTCGTTCATCTCGAGTCATTCAATTGCCTCTCAAAATGATCGGTCTGGTGCCGATCATCCGTCTCCAGATAACACCTCAGAAGCAATGCTTTATGTTCATCTTCCTTCATGCCCGTCATTCTCAATCTGCAGCTCACACGATGCTGGAATCGGCTTTCCTACTGCAGATCACTTTAAGAACTTTACAGATCACAATTTCATTGCTCACATCTTTATCTAGCAATGTACATGAATATGTTTAATATGGGCGTTCTGGAGCTCAGTCAGAGTTGGAGTGAGGAACTTACAGAAGAGATGAAGGAAAAAAAATAACTTTATAAACACACAACTGTTTAAGTAGCCGTGTAAGAATCATGTTAAAATACCATTTCAAATGTATGTTCTGCTAACGGAGATGGATCTGCAGCAATCACAGATACCTGCCTGTCTTGAGCGTGAAGCTAGAGACTGCACTTCAGCTGGCCCTGCTCATGTCCATATAAGATGGGATTTGGTTCTTTCCCCTTTTAAGTCTATGAGACTTAGTGCCTAAATATTAAATAGCACCCTGAAAGTTCTTACATAATTACATATCTTTCAAGAGCTTTCCGTTACAGAAACCAAATACCAAGCCACAACTCACCAATACTGAAAACAGACGCAGTTATGAATACAAGCACAAACGGATGCTAAGGTCTTGCAGAATCAAGCAAACAAAGAAACACTATTTCTCCATTAACAGCACAATGCTTTAAATATTACCGTGATAAAAAATCCAAAGCAATACAGTAATCGGAGCTGAGCAGTACCTGGTACACGGGCTCCCGGTGAGCGTCTGCTGACATGCCTGTCTGGGCGAACACCGGGTCCTGGGTGCGACTGGTGTCCCACACCACGACCTGCCCACTGTACAGACCCCCTGCACAGACACAAGGCAGGAGACAGCGGTCTGAGTGCGCGCAGGCATCAGCACGCTGAGCACGGGAAGGTAACACTGCATGAAAAGAAACTGCAGATCCCCTGGGTTTTCAAAGGTACATTTTAGACTTCAGATAATCACATTTCAGACGACTGTATTGTCCATGGAGTGCTCTATGGTGAGAAAGCACCGGTTGCTGTGACATTTGTTTTCTTTGCAGCTTTTCAATTGATTACCTACTTCCTACAGCCTAACAGTGGTGGGACTCCCTTGCGCACCCAAACAAATGAGAACCCGTCAGAACCATTCCCTACACACCGGCGATGAGGGAGGGCTGGGAGGGGTGGAAAGCCAGACACATCACAGGCGCTGGCACGTCTATGACCAGGTCGGGCCGCTTGGGGTTTAACCCTCTCCTGTCCAGGTTCCACGTGCACACAAAGGACTGCTCTGTGCTCCAGTCACCGTCATCCACACTGAAATAAACAGCAAGACACACCTCCCTTTTAACATCGAGCAGCCGGCAGACTCAGACTGGACAGCGCTTAGTGCGGAGCGACATAAAAACAGGTTTCATCTGAACAGGTGCACAGACAAACTGTTGGATCAGATGCATGGAAGTCCACTGCACTGAGCCCGTTTTTGTTTTCCACACTAGTTAAGGTAACTAAAATAAGAAAGTAGACCAGTGGTACCTGAAAAGAATGGTACTTATTGCAAGTTAAAAAGAAACTGGTATTTTAAAAAGCACGCACGGGTGATACACTCTCTCGTAGACACGTCGAGATCGGGCCCTCTCCAGTCCGATGAGCACAGTCCATGTTGATTTCAGCTGGTTGAACTACAATATAACTTCGCTCTTCAGAGGGCTGGGAAACACTGTGGCACAAGGGACCATCAGCAGGACTCACCGGCCATATGCACACGCGATGACCGAGCCTGTGGAGCTCCAGGAGACACTGGTCACGTGCAGCCTCCTATCCTGGGCTTCGGTGTACTGCAGACAGTGGAGGCGGGTCACCTAGAAGGAATGGAGCGGACGCAGGGCCTTGAAAAATTGTTCAGATTTCTCCTACCGTGACCGTCTTGTAAAATGACAAAATAATACACACACATTGTACGCATATATACACACACTGTATTGTTACATCCCTGTCATATTTAAATTATTTAATTCCAATGTAATTGGGATTTTTCACATTGCACTTGTGTTAACACATGACATTAGGAAGGGAGTCGGTTCATTCTTTACATCTGCACTTTACTGACTTAACTGCAGCTACATTTGGACCTGATCTCTCAAAGGGTTTGAGCACCGGTTCTCAAAGGCAGTTGAATCTTGGTTCATCATTACCCCATTACAAATAATTCCAACAGACAGGAGAAAACTCCTACCACCTCCACAGGGCTGTGGGAATGGGGGGGAGCTGGGCAGCCATGCTGTTGAAGCCAATACCTTGGATTCTTTCAAGAAACGACACGCATGGGATCCTGCATTGACCACTGATTAGCAAATTGTCTAGATGGGCCAAATTGCCTCTTCTTGACTGTAAAGGTGCTTGTTTGCACACTGATGTCAAGTTCAGATAATTCCGGGAGAAAGAAGAGGTGATGCATGGTGATAAGGATTCTTCTTTCAAACTAGAGGTGCGCAGACAATGTTTCTACAGCATGCAGGCTGTTTTGAACGTGGTTGGGAGAGTGCATCTTTCAGATTAAAGTGTCTGGACAAGTCTCAGCGTCCCACTTTACAGCAAATTGTTCCAGGTCCCAGTTACTTGCTACTCTGAGCATGTTGAAAGGCTTTATCACACACAGTGTGATATCAAACGTCCACTAATGCAAAATTTCAGCTTTTGTTGATGTAAAGGCTGAAATCAAAACAAATCCTGTCAGACCTTTTTCACCTATAATAAGATATTGTAACTAACAATATTTAAGTGAATAACAAATGGTTCATTATGAGGAAAAATAATTAAAAACAAATCATTTCAATGCCTTGGTTGCATAAGTGTGCACACCCTTTATGAAGGGGGGTTGTAACTGTGTTCAGATTTAACCAATCACATTCCAAATCATGGACAAAGGTCATTTGCCCCCACCTGACATCAATTGAAGTGATTCTGATTAGCCCTAAATAAAATCAGCTGCTGCTGTAGGATTTCCCTGAAGGTTTCTGGGTTGCATAGTGCAGATAACCCTGTTCCACAAGGAGCTAACAGGAGAGCTACAGGATCTTATTGTTGAAAGGTACAAATCAGGAGAGGGATATCAAAGGATTTCAAAGACAGGACCTATATCAAGGAACACTGTGAAGACCATCAAGAAGTGGAGGAAATATGGCACCACCAGGACATTGCAAAGATCAGGATGTCCCTGCAAACCTGATGAGTGGGCAAGGAGAGAGCTGATCAGGGAGGCTTCCAAGAGACCAACGGCAACCTTAAAGGAGCTGCAGGAAGTTATGGCAGTA